TGACTCGAAAGTGGCGTGTATGTTTACGCAAAAGTCATGATGTCATGTTGCAGTGTTTTTGATTCCCTCAAATGCATCCTGTTTCACACAGTTTTTTTTTATGATCTCCATGTGACCGTGATGTTATAATAGATACTACCCAGAAGCTCTTTGTGCTCTCAGAAGAAAGAAATGGTTGGGGAAACTCAAACATGGTTCACTTTAAAAGAGGGGAAAGGAATTTCTCCCAAAGAGACCAGTTAGGCCTTGGGCATTTACTGTTTTCTCTGAAATCCTGTTGACAACGCTGTAAGTGTGGGCCAGTGCTGTTGCAGAAAAAGATTATAAAGAGGAAGTCAGTATAGCAAATGTTAGATTAATGAAATAGGCTTCTTGCTCTCTATTACCTGTGCTTTCTGTCTTTAGTTGAACAGAACGTTTGTCCCCCTGCTGAGAGGAAATCCGTATGGGATATAAAAAGGGTGTAACGTGCCCCAAGGGTATCCTGACTGATGTCTTTGTGTGCGTGTTTAGCTTTTCATTTAAGGCGCCTGGTGCCTCAATGTCACAAACATCCACACATTCGCACGTTCGCACACATCTTGCCTTACTGAATTGCTCTCGTTCCCCTGAGAAACGCCGAGTGATGTCATATCCTTTGAAGGCTAATGAATTCCTGAAAGTTCATCAAGCCGTTCGCTGCTATTAAAATTATTTCCTGGCAGTGAATGTGGCAGAAAGGGATGTCAATCATTTAGCGGTGTGGGATGATCCACTTTGACATTTCCCATCTCGTGTTTGGAATTAAGCGGATGGATCCATCATCTGTAATCAGAGCCCAGGTCTCGTGTGTGTGTGTGTGTGTGTAGGAAGCTCATCATGCAGCTTAAAAAGGCATCGCTTATTTCGAAACAAGCGAAACTGACTTTAGAAAGAAGGTGAGATATAAAGAGAAAAGACTAGGAACATTTGACTAATTCCCTTTTGCATGATGGGATACATCATATACATGAACCAATTGTTATGTCTCTGTTCAACACATGAGTGTACCGTGGTGTTACCATGGACATCTTACTATTATAATGCCATGTTTTTTTTAATTTGCAATGGCAGTACTATGGTACAGTGATACTATGTTACTTTAAAACATACCATGGTATAAAAATTAATGTACTATGGTATTTACATGATACTCCAATGTACTTTGAAGGTGGTCTTACAATGGTAAATAGTAAAAAAATAAAATAAATAGGGTGGTACCTTGGTCATTTTTGAAGGGTTTACTGTGATAAAATCATAGTTTATTTTAAGTACTTTTGCAGTACCTTAAAGTAGCATGGTACTGTATATTAATACGGAAATCATTCAGTACCATTGTATACATATCAATGTTCTATGGTATTACCATGTTTTATTGGACATTTACCATGGTAACAACGTTTAAGTAAATTAGAGTACCATGATAGTTAAATATGAATGGTATACTGCATATCAAAGTATCATGATGTTTATTTTTCAAACCCAATTATTCATTAAAGAACTTTGAAGTACCTGGTAAATACCATGATATACAGTACAAATATGGCAGTTATTCAATATATATATATATACATATACACATACATACATACATACATACACACAGTATATATACCATGGTATTACCAAGCTTTTTGGACATTTACCATAGTAAAACCATATTATTCTTTGAAGAACCATGCCAATAAGTAGGGTAATCATTCAGTACCATGGTAGATATCAGTGTTCTATATAGTATTACCATGTTTTATTGGTTTTATTTACCATGGTAATCACTTGTGGTCCTTTGAGTACCATATAAATAAATACCATGGAACATATGAAAATAATCCTTCATTACCATGGTATTATAATCTTGTTGTTGTTGTTGTTGTTTACATTTACCATTGAGTACCATGTAAATACCATGGTATATGAATATGGTAATCATTCAGTACCACTGTATATATCAAAGTACTATGGTATTCAAATGTTTTATTCTTTTCATGTCCGTTTTTGTTTCCCCTCACGTTTGCTTTTCTTTTCTTTTTGATGAGTGAACTTGCCTTTCAGCTGCCTGCTAATTAATCAGGGTCTCTGGTCTTACATAAGAGATGTGATGGTTCAAACACAGCTGTTCCTGATTGAACTTCAGGAGGAGCATCTTGGGAGAAGTGAGCCTGAGCTCGAGTCGGCTGATACTGTATGACACGCACACTTCACTCCACTCCACACATCACCAGATCTACCCCCACGGGTTTTATCCTTCTCTCTGTAGAGGGAGCAAAAATTATGATACATATTTATATTTTATGTAAAAAGCAGAATTGGTGTGCTCTTGCAGTCTTGTGGTCCACAAGTCAGTAGGGTGTCCCATTTGTCATTTTAGGTTTTGTTTGTTTTGATTTACTGAAAAGAACTCATAAGAATCATTTGTTCATTTTGTGTTTCACATTTATTCATTTTGAGATATTTGTTTGTTCATTTGTGAATCAAACTACAATGATTGCACTTTCTGATTTTGTTTCATATGGGCTCATATGGGCTATTCAGTCACAAATCAAACTACACTGGCCATGATGTGTGTTTTTGATTCACAAATTGACTGAAAAGAGTCATTTGTTCAGGAATTTTACTGGTCTTGCTTTATTTTTGATTCGTATCTCTGTCTCGCACTCGTCTGTTTTTGAGTCATTGAAACGAATTGGCTCATAAGAGTCATTTGTACACTTGCCGTGCTGTGTGATTTTGATTCTCAAATTAACTCTTAACAAATATACCGGTTTGCTATGATTTTTTATAAATTTTTTCTATCCAGGTTTTACCCTTTTTCCTCATGGAGAGAGCATAAATCAAATAAATTGTACATTTTATAATTAAAAAAAGCTTAATACAGTCATGTTTTTGCCAGTTTTGGGCTGGCCCAGGAGTTGATTAGCAGTTGAGTGGTTGTTAGCATTTTGCTAGGTTGTTGCTCGCTGGATACACTCTGCCTTAAACGGACAATTCACCAAAAAAAAAATCAATTCTGTCATCATTTAGTCATTTAAAATCCATAGGACAGATTTATTTTTGAGTGAACTATACCTTTATTTCAAAAGAGCTCACCCAAGTCTTTAGAGGGCTCAAATTTCAAATTTCTCCTTAAAGTCTAAGATCTGAAATGCCATTCACGTCCGTAGCATAAACGGTGAATTTATGCTACAAAGTTTTGAAAAACTGATCGCTCTATTTTAGACACTTCAGTTACAGTGCGGCCCACTTTCTATCATACTACAAAGTCTCTCTCGATTACATTCTTGCACACAAACCATCCCGTTAATAAATTCTTAAAACTCATAAATTCTTAAAAACGCTTCTGTGCGATGCATACAGTTTGTTTCCTTCTAAAATCCTGCCAAACTAATATTTCCCTTTGATGACAGAAATGTAACTGGTCTCGTGTGTTTTGTTCGCTCAGTAGCATTTGGTCAACTGTGTATTTTGGAGTGTTTTGCAGCCTTCGGCTTTGATGGCGCTGAAGTCTCCGGGGCGTCGAAATAGACCGAAATATCCGGGAATGCAAAACGCATCATTTGATCTGCCTCTCCCGCGCCAAGCAGTTTAAATAAAACACAAGTTGACTGAATAAAAATGTGTCATAATCATTTGTTTCAGCAGATAAAAGATAGCGAGTCAGAACTGAAGGAGAAGAGGATAGACAGCTGATGTGGCCATCATGGGTGTGCTGTTCTCGTTTTCCATCGCATAACGTCTGCCTTACTTTGGTGTTTGGACTGTTTTCTGGCCCGTGGCGTAAAGTCCCACTTCCAACGCTTCTTGGGGCGAGCAGGGTGGGGTTTTCCATTTGTGCACAGAGGGAAGATGCTCAGCGTGGATGTTGGATGTGAGGGTGTGTGGTGACAGCGTTCATACTGTAATGAATCCTGGCAGTACCTGTGGTTACTCTGGATGAGTTATTCTGGAGTGGAACCAGAGATGGATAACAATTACGCACATAAACAACCACACACATACAGACTGCAGCTTTGATTTTGACATATCATTATGTGCTCTTACACAGACAGACTTTGCTGTGAATTTAGTGGCATTTTCTTTCTTTTAGAACGTATAAACTTCTCATGATTCAATATGTGTTGCATATTAATAATTAGATCCTCATTATCACTGCATAAAGGGATAGTTCACTTTGAAATGAAGTTTTTATATGTTTTAGCTTACTGGTACCTCAAGGGCATCCAAGATGTAGGTGTCTTTGTTTCCGCAGTATTTTCAATTTTTATATTTTTAGGTCAAACCGTTCGTGTCTGTCAGTCATATAATGGAGGTCTATGGGGTTCACCTCAAAGAGCATGCACAGAGAAGTCCAATTTAAACATGATTTAATGACTCGTAAATGTAAGTACACATTGATGGCCTAAAACATTAAAAGAGCGGTTTGTGTGAGAAAACGAATAGTATTTATATAGTTTTTACCTCTTGTAATCACAGCCATGTCCAAGTGATCTGAGGGCGCGGGCGCTTGACTAACAACAAACTCTTGCTTGTATACTCTTGGGTGCTGTGTGTTAATTTTTTTGTGTTTCCGTGTTTTTCGTTCGCCATCTTCGCTCTATTTGTGCGAAACACTATTTTACTTCGCTTCTGCTATGATAAAGAGACATCCATTGCATCCATTGCGTTCATGCTTTTTGGGGGTGGAGCAATGAAGAGAGGGGTGTGTTCAACAATGAGAAATTGCATAGTTGATTGGGTCCTGAAAAGTGTTTTTTACATATCAGCTAGGTTGCTGAATGTTGTAGATTAATAAAAAAGACTTGGTATCTTGATATATGTTTTTGGTTTACTACAACGAGCCGGCTGATTCAGACTTTGTCGATGTTAGCAACTCTAACAAGTGACCTCAGAGAGTTTTAACTGCAGTTTTAAAGATGCAGTTATTTTTTCTGAAAGTTATTCCATAGCAATTTAAATGGTTTTATGTATTTATTTTGTGTGTATAGGGAACGACCTCTTCCTGGTGGCAGTACATGAGCTGGGACATGCGTTAGGCCTGGAGCACTCCAACGACCCCACTGCCATCATGGCCCCCTTCTACCAGTACATGGACACAGAGAACTTCAGACTGCCACACGACGATCTGCAGGGCATCCAGAAGATTTACGGTAACATTCACACAGAACACACTAAATTTCACAACATTGCTTTTCTCAACAAACTCGCACACAGTGTGTAGCTCAAATCAGATCCACTTTTCTAAATCCCATCCAACATCCAAATGGCTCATTAGAGTCGTTCATTTGTGAATCAAACCACAACATGTTTACTCGTGAGAGTCGTTTGAGTCAACAACTCATGAGATTTGAATGAGATTTGAAAAAAGAGAAAATGTCCAGGGGGCTCAGGGAGTTCAAAAAGGTATTAGAAGGTGCTCTTTGGGGTCGGGAGTTCATTGTACACAAATACAACCCACGTGTAGTGGCACAAACAGCCTTCTTCAGGATCTTTTCTGTCATTATAGCCAGTCTAATAAAGGCTTTTTAATTTTCTAAAGAAGAGTGCCTTGGATTTCCTTTTCTACAACTGATGAGATTTGTTTGAGTCAACAACTCATTAGAGTCATTTGAATCAACAACTCATGAGAGTCGTTTCAGTCAACAACTCATGAGAGCCGTTTGAGTCAACAACTCATGACATTTGTTTGAGTCAACAACTCATGAGATTTGTTTGATTCAACAACTCATGAGAGTCATTTGAATCAACAACCGATGAGAGTTGTTTGAGTCAACAACTCATGAGATTTGTTTGAGTCAACAACTCATGTGAGCTGTTTGAGTCAACAACTCATGAGAGCTCTTTGAGTCAACAATTCATGAGAGCCGTTTGAATCATCAACTCATGAGAGTCGTTTGAGTCAATAACTCATGAGAGCCGTGTGAATCATCAACTTATGAGAGTCGTTTGAGTCAATAACTCATGAGAGCTGTTTGAGTCAACAACTCATGAGAGCCGTTTGAGTCAACAACTCATGAGAGTCATTTGAATCAACAACTCATGGGAGTCGTTTGAGTCAACAACTCTAGTGAAGTGTCCATCATATGCACACTTAAGTATCTCGGTGGAAGTAGTATGTCATCTGAGGACTGTTATTTGGACATATAGTAGGGAATTATTTGATTTTGGATGCTGCTTGTGTGTTTTTTGATTCACAAATTGACTCACTCGCTTCGATATGTTTTTGATTCATCTTGCTATACTGCACTGGTTTTATCCTCTTTTCCTGTGGAGAGAGCATAAATGAACAACATTTTTACATTTTATGAAAAAAATGTAAGTGGTGTTTTGCCCATAATGTGACCAAGATGTCATCTTGTTCTATGCTTTTGATTCATCTCTCTATCTTTTTTTTCTGTGGAGAGAATATAAAGGAACTACATTTTTACATTATGTCAAAAAATATGTAAGAGGTATTTTGCAGATTTTGAGGTGACTAAAGTTGTTGGATGGGTTGCATGTAGCCTTAAAGAGACAGTTCACCCCAAAAATGAAAAATTCTGTCATCATTTACTCACCCTCCGAACTCGTAGGACACACTTTTATCATAAAATGTCAAATCTAGTGCCTTAAATTTCCCTCTGTTCCTCCACTCCAATCCAGAATAACTCTTTCCTGGATCCCATTCAACATCCGTCCCTTCGGTCTTCCTCTTTCCTCCCTCCGACACGAGGCCGGAGAGGGTGGAGATACTCGCACATCTTACGTATCACGCACACATTCCCAACCATGTTCTCTCAACATCCCTCACTCTCACCAGAGCAGATCTCTATCTCTCTCTCTCTATCTGCCTGTGTCGTCCGCCCCGTGTTGTGTAACATGAAGGGCTGTAATCCTCGCTCTATTTCAGGAGATTTGATTTCAGACAGTCACTCCTCTCTGTGGTCCTGTGGGTCGTTCACATCTCCAGAGGGGTAATCCTGTCAGGCCGCCCTCCTGCCTGATTCATACTTAAAATCATTCATTATTTTCTCTATTTAATCACCTATCCTTTCATTCTCACAGAGGATTTCTTGACCTCTCGATCCGTCGGCTCTTAGCGTTCTGTCGCTCATCCAAAAATGTGACGTCTCAGTTCATTGTGCTAACAGCTTGAACTCTTCAGCGCGGGTCAGCTGTGATAATGAGTCCGCAGATAATCGAGGTGTATGCTGGACTATAACTGATGCGCGAGCACATTATTACACCAACACTCCAGATGAATATTATAAAACCAATTATTCTGCCAGCTATATTATCTAGCTTATTTTACCTTTATTTTAAAATAATGCATGCAATAAAGTACATAAATAATCAATGATAAATGTTATATATTATACAATTCATGATAAATATGTGAAAAAATATATACACTAAAACAAATAAAAATATCAAATATTTATATTTATTAGATATTTTATTTAGATTTAAATAATAGTACATTTATTATTTAATAATAAAATATATAAATCCATTTTAGACATTAATTAAAATCTAATCTTTTTAAAGTTTTGTATTTATTTTTAATGTTAAAAACAATCGAATGATTTATATTTTAGAGTGAATATAAATAATAAAATATAATTAAGCATAAACATATTATAAAAATATATTTATTTTAAAATTATTTATTTATATATTTTTTTCAAAGTAATTATATGTATTATTACTCATTAAAAAATTATTAAAAAAAAGTTATTTAGTGAATCATATGGATTTTATTATTTATTTAATTTATTTATTATTTATTAAATATTTGTTATATATCTTTATAAAAGCGACTGAAAAAATATGCTAAATAAACTAATAGCAGTCTTCAGTGAGTCAGGGGTATTTAACAATAAAACATTTATAAAACCATATCATAAGACAAGCACAATATTCAATGAATCATTAAATGTATTATTGTTAATAATTCCAGCAAGTAATATAGTACATTAGCAAGCCATGACAAGCAACATGGCACATTAATATAGTCTAAATACTTCTTGGTATGAGACCAAATTGTGTCGTTTATAAGGGTTTTTTGGCTACAAACACCCTTAAAACAAAGTTTAATGACCCTCATCTCTCTCTCTCTCTCTCTTCAGGACCTCCAGATAAACTTCCTCAGCCAACGAGACCTCTACCCACGATCCCACCCGTCCGCTCGCACCCTCCCGTAGATCCACGCAAAAACGACAGGCAGACGCGGCCTCCCCGAATACCGACCGGCGACAAACCAGCGCACCCGAACGCTAAGCCAGACATCTGTGACGGTGGCTTCAACACGCTTGCCATCCTCAGGAGGGAGATGTTCGTGTTTAAGGTAAGCAAACGAATGAGACATACAGTATCTGTCTAAAAACGCACCAAACATACACACAGATTCTTAATGACTACATGAGCTCATTTCAAGCTTATGGTCTCATAACTGCTGCTTCAAGCGCTGGCAGCCTCAGCTGACAAACACACACAACGTGGCGGCCGCAGGAAACATTTCAGTGTGTGGGTGTTTTCTCTTTGTTCTCTTGAGCTTGTGCTGAAGGAAAGTGACCTATTAGTCAGAGCCAATGAGCTTTTCTTTGCTCGCTGAACCTGAGAGCTGCCTTCAATGAATCCTTAAAGCTCTAGTGTGATAGTTCAGTGTATCAAAAGAGCTGAGCGTTAGCAATCACTGTGTGGATGACAGGGTGTGGATTATCAGGCTCTGACCCTACTAATGAAAGCTTGAACCTCACCAGTGGAAAAAACAGAAAGGGAAAGCAGATCAACTAAACTCTTTAGTTCTACATACGATATAGGGAACAGCATTTTCCGATAACGTCATGCAATTACATATCATAATCACATGTTAATCAGAGGACAAAAGTAACCATAGGAACAGAAGGCTACTTGAGTGTTTTTCTTTAGGATCAGTATTGAAGTACATTGACAAAACAGTAGTATTGATAATATTTCTAGATTTGTTAATTTAGACAACACTATCATATTGCCATTCTACATGAAATTCTAAACAGGATACATTAAATTGATTAAAAGTGACAGTAAAGACATTTAACTTGGTAATAAAAAGTTGAACTTTCTTTCTTTCTTTAACTTTCTATTCTTTAAAGAGTCATGAGAGAGTATAACGTTTCCACACAAAAAAAGTAAGCAAAACAACTGATTTTAAACTTAACATGATAATAAGAAATGTTTCTTGCGCAACAAATCAGCATATTAGAATGATTTCTGAAGGATCATGTGACACTGAAGACTGGAGGAATGATGCTGAAAATTCAGCTCAAGTCACATGCATACATTATAGAATATATTCAAATTGTTTACTTTTGAATGGTAAATAAATACATACATTTTTTACATAATGTTTTACTATATACATATATAAAAGTTTGTGTGTACATAATATATGTGGGTGCACTGTGTATAATTTTTTTATATATATAAATACACACACATGCTTGTATATCTTTAAGAAATATTTCCATGTATATACTGTATATAGATTTATATATAATTTATATGATATATAAATATACATATTTTATATATAAATAATATTTTTTTCTTAAATATACATGCATGTGTGTGTCTTTATATATATATGCAAACTAATTATACACAGTGCAGAGTGCACCCACATATATTATGTAAACACAAACTCTTATTTTGGATGTGATTAATTGACAGCCCTATATATATATATATATATATATATATATATATATATATATATCCACAATGATGTATAAAAGATATATACGCAATATGAAACCTTTTTTTAGAATATAAGATCTATATTTTTTTACTTGTAGCTCATGTAGGCTTTCAGAAAGGTGATGACTCCAAAATCCATGACTGTCAAAGTCTATAAACTGAAATCAGAACAAACAAAGAGAAGTTACGAATTGATGTCCACTAACTGCACACAGGGGCAAGTTAGTGTTTTTGTTGTGTATGTGTTTTTCTCTGTTTAAAAATAGATGGAATTCATTTGTCAGGACTTTACAGAAAGTTTCTTTTTTTTCTGAATAGACAAACTGACGTGCAGATTTATTCCTCTTGTAGAGGGGTTTTGTTGGGATCTAATCTTGTCACTTGGTCTCCACTCCCACTTCCACAGCAGACGCCTCTGGGAAAACTAAATCTATCATGACACTCAGTCGCTCGCTCTATCATCGCGGTTAGACAATAACACAAACATATTTCTGTGCTGTAAAACATTCAAAGTCTGCCATCTAAGCTCTGAGGTGTATCCACAGTAATGTCTGTGTCAGCTTCCTCACGTTGGCGGCACACGGTTGTGGACGGAAGTCCTGATTGGCTAAAAGATGAGGAGGTCGGCAATATATTTAACTCTAGAAAACAGAAAAACACTGACAGATCCATAATCATCAGCAAAAGTTTGATACCAGATCATTTCTTCCAACCACTTGAAAACCATTACTAGGTCAATATAATACAATTTATATACAGTATATATATATATTGATTCATTAATCATATTTATTTGCTGAGAAAATCCATTTGAAAATGACTCAAATGCATTATTTTGGTTAAAGATTAAATATCTTAATAGACTAAATTAGTATCGGTATTACTATCAACTATTATCTTGATTATCTTGTTTGACCTTTTTAAATAATGCAGTACAAATAATATATATTAAATAATAAATGTTATATATTGTATGATAAATATATGAATAAATAAATAAATATATATAGAGATATCTATAAATAGAAAATAGAATAAATAGAAATAGAGATTTATTTAAAAAAATGCAATATAATATAATATTTTAATAAACATTTATTTCTTAAATCTTAAAAACAAATTTTTTTGAATGTCAAAGTGAAAGTCTGTACAGTAAAGTCTAAAAAATAATGCACTAAAAATAATATAAAATAACAAACATTATATAATGCATGATAAATAAGTGAATAAATACATACACAATTTATTTAATATATTTTATATTTTATTTACTTATAATAAATATACAATATAAATATAATATTTAATAAGCTTTTATTTGTTACATTTTAAAAAGAAGCTCAAAATGAAAGTCTATAAATGAAAGTTATAAAATATGCATGACTATATATATATATATATATATATATATATATATAAATTATATATTTTATTTATTATAAATATACAATAAAAAACTAATTGAATAAGCCTTTTTAAATGTCAAAATTAAAGGCTATAAACCCCGAACGTACAATCTCTGCCAATGTAAAGAAAAGCACACTTTGTTCTCTATCATTTCTCCAGTAATATAAACAGTCAGCTCCCTCCTCCCTCTCTCTCTCTCTCCTCTGACTGCCCGTCTCCTGAGCGCTGGTGTTTGATGCGATTTCAGTCTGTGCCCGGTGACAGATCTCTTCCGTCCAGTCTCCAGTCCTGTGAGGAGAGTTTCACAGTCCGGCGAAGGATCTGTAGACTGTGAAACCGAGAGATAGAGGCTGATCTCCCAGCAGAGAGCTCTCAACCTGCCCAGCAACACACTGCTTGTGGCGCTTTCATCTCTCATCCCTCCATCTCCCAGCAGGCAGCCCTGTGTTAAGTATGGCTGGTTGTTACGGTGGGCTTCATTTGCACAGGCTAAACCTCACGCGTCACATGAGCGTGGAATCCGTATTCACATCCTCATGCTGAGCTCTCGTAACGTACGCTTTCGTCCTGAAAAATCAGACAAATTCAAATATTAGTGAAATCAAATAACGTTTCATTGATAGATTTCCCTATGAGACACTTAAAGATCTGCCTTCAACAATTCTGGGTCCTTAATCGTTCCATTATCAATTAAAGACAATTTGAATCAGATATTACACTGATTTAATTCTGTCATTACTGTTGTGTTTAATTCTGTCATTACTAATCTAAAACTTATATCATAACTTAAAACACAATTTCCCCCAAGGACTCTAGACTAAACCAATCAGATTTCACAAGAAGTTCTGAGCCTCGGATCTTTACTACAACGTTATATTTAACATTTCACAGATAAAATCCAGATATTTTACATTGAAGAGTCCAACTTGTACCAGATAATGGTCTCTCTGAGAGTAACTGTTCCTAAAAGTGAGGTACGGAGGGTCACATAAGTCACTCTTTCTTGCAGAATAAAACAGAATTCATTTTAGTTTGGTGACCCATTTTTTTAAAACTCCATAATTCATGCAACCCCTCGTTTTAAGCCTACATTTTAAAATCTCACAGATGCAATATACCGTACAGAACTTCAAAATGCTTTTCTATTAAGAATTTTTATTGTTATATTAGCAAATAATTCGGGCAGCCCATAAATGAATAAGAAAGGCTGAAAACCTATGAAATCAAAAAGGACGATTCATAAGATAAATGATTTACCTCTGCACATCAATCATTTTTTTAAATGCACGAGCCAACTAATTGCAGCGACATCTCATCTCTGATGATGTGTTCAGTAGGGCGAGGGCGGGGCAACCTGTCACTCAAATGAGATTGACCAATAGCAAACCACAACCATCCAATCAATTCCCAACAGTCAAAATCATGTCCAGAACAACATTTTTTCTTGTTCGACAAGCAATTTCACTCAGATATACGTCACAATAGGGAAGGCTATCACAACTTAATATTTAGTGTTTTAATTCTGAAGCTACATATGCAGTGTGTCCCGTGGCCTGTCATTTCTCACTCATATCAGCTGTATGGAGCTGAACGCACACACAACGGTGTGTCTTCTCTCATAGCCAAACAATAATGAAACGCAGATGAATGTGGTGCCTCCAGGGAGCCATAGGTCACTGTTGTCTGTGTGGGCCTTCCTGTGATTACATAGTGCCATGCAGTTGAATTTGTTTGTCTTTCTCTGGTTTTGTGATAGAAGAGAAGGATGAGGAAAAAGTAGGAGTTTATATAGAAGCACTTTGTGCCACAATGCCGTCTTTGTGTTTGGTGCAGTTGCTAATGTGAAGTGAAATGAAGGCCTCTGTGTTTAACCCAACCAAGTTTTAGCACACACATTAGGAGCAGTGAGTAGTACACACACACTGCAAACCGTGGACACACACATCCATTCACTGTTAGCATGTTGGTATGTGATTAGCCATCACAAATAGTATGTGACAGTCACACACCAAAGTTTAATTTGGGTTTGTCCAAATCACCAACCCAAACTATGAGCCAAAGTGTCAGTGATATCTGATTAGTAAACACCAATAATGACCGGAATGCCTTTTCAGTTACAGTATTTTCTCCAAGGACACAGAATACTACTTTCAGTCCCTAAAGACTCCTGCTGACTGCTGTGGGCGGATGGCAGTTCTCAGAGAGTGTGTGTGCAGTCGCGTATAGTGTCAGATAATGGAAAAGAAAATTATTACACATTCATAGTATCATTATACACATTTTTCACACTCTTTCTAGTTTAAAGAGAACTATATATAGGCTATTCATCCTCCACAAGTCATGCATTTCCAGCTCAAAATAATATTTATATCAATTTTAGAATAAAATATCCTTATTTTTCTCTTGCTTTGTTTGGGTCAATTTCATACCAAGCACTCCATGCATCCTAAATACACAAAATTAAATAATATTTTTTTTTACAATTTTGCATAGAATCACAGCTTGATTGGAAATGATGAACAGTACAAAATATTTAATAACCAAGTATACAATCCTTGGGTCGATGTGTAAATGACAATTCGAGGAATATCATGCAGGAATATTATTTTTGAAATTAAAAAATTAAAAATCATTTTCGCTGAAATTAAGTGAAAAATTTAAAAACTTTTGCAACTAGCTGAAATTATATATATATATATATAATTACTAAATCTAAAACTGAAATAAAAACAAAGCTACATTAAATAGAAATAATTACTAAATAAAAAATAACTAGTGAAATGATAAAAAACACTTAAAAAAATGACTAAAATGTAAACTTAAATTAAAAATATATAATTAAATGCTCATTTAAAATATAAATGAATACTAGAATAGTGTTTGAATATAATACTACAACAACACTATAGTACACGATTTGTGTGAGAGGGAACAAGTGGAATCGAAGTAGTCGTGCAAAATCTGAAGAATGCCATCTCTGTAATGGAGTAGAAAATACTGTGAGTCACAGGCTGAAGAAGTGTCATCTGAGGGTCTCACTGCTGTAGAGAGACTGATGGTCAAACGCCATGCTTCAATTTGCTACAAAAAGATTAGTCGGGAGAGGCAAATCTGTGCTTGAAGAATAATGGAGGTGTCATTCTCAAACCATTTGTTATTCTCAAGCTTGCTGTTAAATTGTATTCTGAGAGATACAGCGAAGGATTTCAGAAATTCTCATATAAAAAGCTACTCTCGGTGTGACGATGGTCAATATCATGTTCCAGGTGCGCTACACTACACAAAATAATTATGTTCAACAGAAGGAAGAAATTATAGAGCTTTGAAACGAACAGAGATGAAAAGCTTGATATAATATTATATTTTATGTAAATTATTTACACATACACAAACACACACACACACACATATATACATACATACAGTATATATACACACGTCAGTGTATATATATATATATATATATATATATATATCAGGGCTGTGTAAAGATCAATTGCGATAAATTGCATCCAAAATAAAAGTTTGGGTTTACATAATATATTTGTGTCTGCTGTGTATAATTATTTTGTATATATAAATGTACACATGCATGTATATATTTAAGAAAACGTGTTATTCATATATAAAATATTAATATTTATATATAATATAGATTATGTATTTATATACACAGTATTTACGTGAAAATAATTCTTAAATATATACATGCATGCATTTATTACAAAATATTACATGCACATTTATGGGACCCATTCTCATTTCTGAATATATATATATATATATATTTAAATATTTAAAAATATATATATTTCTGTATCATATTTTAAATAATATATAAGATTATTTATAATAATATAACACACATATGAGACCCATTCTCATTTCTGACATTATATATATATGGAACAAAAACGTCATACAGGTTTGGAGGGAATAGAGATCAAGCCTGGCAGAATATGCTTCTTGTTTATCCAGTTTATGCGGTGACAGGCTTGATTTCCCATCATCCTCTGTGTCAGAGTGATAAAACACAGATGAACATCAATTATACCTAATGCGCATCATTTGCTTGCTCTTCACTATAGGACTAAAGTAAAGAGCGTCCTGCATCTGATGGGAACTGTTAAACAGAGAAAGAAATATGAAATTGCCCACAGTTTCTATTCACTTGAACGCGCGTCCCCTCATTATTTTGATTTCTGGACTCTAAGTAGGAACTTCCCTGGAGGCAACGATTGTTACAGTGATGACGGAGGTATTGTCTGTTTTGCCACCAACGTTTAAACAAGCTTTGGAGACATCAAAGCCGTAGATGTGTGACGGGGGATTTTTCGAAGCTGGAAGTGAGAGCAGCTGTGGCCGTGGCAAATCAAACTATTCCATGTAGGAAGATGTCTGTTTGGGTTTGATTTAATAAAATATACTTTTCCGCCCCAAAAAACAATGACAGAATAGCTGTTGTTTACAAGACAAAGCCTCTTAGAAAACCTCTAAAGTCTTGTATTGACCAAAAACACATCATGCAAAGCTTTATAGGATCCATCTGGAGCTGTAAACCCCGAAACGTGCCACGCAACTAATGTTTCTTTATGAATTTTTTTTCTCTTTCAATCTGTTTTCCCTCTGTGAAGGACCACTGGTTTTGGAGGGTCAGGGATAATGCCGTGATGTCCGGTTACCCCATGCTCATCAATGTCTTCTGGAGGGGTCTGCCACCCAAGATTGACGCCGTCTATGAGAACAGCAAGGGCAAATTTGTGTTTTTCAAAGGTAAGATTTCTACACATCAGATCAACGTCCCTCAGCACGGTTTGTTTACAAGCGTAAGAGGCGAGTTGAGTTCAGACAGAGATAGCGAGGGAACAGCGTGAAAATGAGACTTAACCTGCTTTCTACAGAGAGGTCAACTGCTGTAGGGCTCTCGCTGGGTTTATCTACGCTGACAGTTTGCCTCTAAATATAACAACATTAGGGGTTCATAGTGAATACTGGAGAATGTATGCGTGTAAGAGCGAATCTCACAAAGCCTTTTCAAGAGCATGGGTCATATTGTACACAAAATTCAAAAAGAAAAGACATGCATTATATATATATTTTTTTGTATTTCATATTTTGCATAATGAAAATAAAGCTTATTTTTAAATTAAAGCTATTTAAGATTAAATTTCGGAGTGTCTATTTACACCAAGTGCAAAAAGCCCACCTTATCAGTAGAACCTCATTGCAGTACACAAGATCCAGGGGCGGAGTTGGATCCAGATCTAAGGGGTGGAGATGGGCTAGGTTTAGGGGTGGGGTTAGGGATCAGGGATTTTAGGGATTTAGGGAGTTAGGGAGTTATTTTCAGGGGGTTAGGGATTTTATTTGTTTATGTTTAGTTGTGTCTGTATCACCAGCTGACACTATTGGGCTCTACACAATGTGTGTATTTTTTGAGTGAGAGAGAGAAAGAGGAGGCTGGGCCAAATGAGATAATGACAAATACACACACACCTACACAAACACAGCAGTTTTCCACACGCTTTTGTTCCTCGACAACTAGACAAATGGTCTCCCATGTTCAGAGAGCTTAATGAACCTTTTTAGCCCACCATGCCTGTAATCTTAATTATTTATTTGCCTGTACACCTCACAGAGAGCAAGGGAAAAGAGAGGGATGGATTGAATTATGGATGGATGGAACATGTACCAGTTGTTTCTGGGTTTTACTGTGTGATTGCGCAAGCTTTCTGGATCCACTTTGTCCCAGATTTCTGTGTTTCAAGTTTCTGTTTCAATTATGTTTCAAGTTTCTGAAAATTATAAAAGTACATTTTCCCAGCTCATGGGGTTTCTATAAATGAAAACAAATGAAAAAAAAAATTATACAATTGCTTTCATTGTGATTTTTTTTGTCCATTCCAATGGACATCAGGTCAAAACAGGTGTACTTCCCCAAAATGTACCAACATGAAATACATTAATAAACATAAAATTTGTTGGTCTATACTTTAAGCTTTTTCTCAAGGTCAAAAAAATTCCAGCAGTATACCATTTCAACTATAATTTTGAAGTTTTTGTTTTACAGATTGCACATTGTTTGTAACAAACTAAATATATTCTAATCAATCTGGTCATATTAGAGTCATTTTCTGTGTGCATCTTTCTTTTTTTAGAACAAAAAACTTGAACATTATAACATTACAACTTCAATCGTAAGGTTTTTCCTTTATATTGCACATTTATTTATTCATAACAAAATAAACCTAGGAATAAATCCACCGTCCGTGAACCCACTATTTTTATAATTGGATAAGTGCTACGTGGGATCTCAATATCTCAGCTCTGGAAGGGGCTAGAGCCTCAATTTTTGCACTCAGGTCTAAGTCTCATGGCCCTCTATCAGAATCCAGAGTTTTGGGAAGATTGGAGAAACTTAATTTTTCGCCCGAAAAAAAAAAAAAACGTAAGGGGTACCACTGTCGTTTTTTTTTTCGGGCCGAATTTTTGAGTTTCGATATCTCAGCTCTGGAAGGGGCTAGAGCCTCCATTTTTGCACTCAGGTCTAAGTCTCATGGCCCTCTATCAGAATCCAGAGTTTTGGGAAGATTGGAGAAACTTAATTTTTCACCCGAAAAAAAAAAAAAACGTAAGGGGTACCACTGTTGTTGTTTTTTTTCGGGCCGAATTTTTGAGTTTCGATATCTCAGCTCTGGAAGGGGCTAGAGCCTCCATTTTTGCACTCAGGTCTAAGTCTCATGGCCCTCTATCAGAATCCAGAGTTTTGGGAAGATTGGAGAAACTTAATTTTTCACCCGAAAAAAAAAACGTAAGGGGTACCACTGTCGTTTTTTTTTTCGGGCCGAATTTTTGAGTTTCGATATCTCAGCTCTGGAAGGGGCTAGAGCCTCCATTTTTGCACTCAGGTCTGAGTCTCAAGGCCCTCTATCAGAATCCAGAGTTTTGGGAAGATTGGAGAAACTTAATTTTTCGCCCGAAAAAAAAAAAAAAACGTAAGGAGTACCACTGTCGTTTTTTTTTTTCGGGCCGAATTTTTGAGTTTCGATATCTCAGCTCTGGAAGGGGCTAGAGCCTCCATTTTTGCACTCAGGTCTAAGTCTCATGGCCCTCTATCAGAATCCAGAGTTTTGGGAAGATTGGAGAAACTTAATTTTTCACCCGAAAAAAAAAAAAACGTAAGGGGTACCACTGTCGTTTTTTTTTTCGGGCCGAATTTTTGAGTTTCGATATCTCAGCTCTGGAAGGGGCTAGAGCCTCCATTTTTGCACTCAGGTCTAAGTCTCATGGCCCTCTATCAGAATCCAGAGTTGTGGGAAGATTGGAGAAACTTAATTTTTCGCCCGAAAAAAAAAAACGTAAGGGGTACCACTGTCGTTTTTTTTTTCGGGCCGAATTTTTGAGTTTCGATATCTCAGCTCTGGAAGGGGCTAGAGCCTCCATTTTTGCATTTAGGTCTAAGTCTCATGGCCCTCTATCAGAATCCAGAGTTTTGGGAAGATTGGAGAAACTTAATTTTTCACCCGAAAAAAAAAAAAACGTAAGGGGTACCACTGTCGTTTTTTTTTCGGGCCGAATTTTTGAGTTTCGATATCTCAGCTCTGGAAGGGGCTAGAGCCTCCATTTTTGCACTCAGGTCTAAGTCTCAAGGCCCTCTATCAGAATCCAGAGTTTTGGGAAGATTGGAGAAACTTAATTTTTCGCCCGAAAAAAAAAAAAACGTAAGGGGTACCACTGTCGTTTTTTTTTTCGGGCCGAATTTTTGAGTTTCGATATCTCAGCTCTGGAAGGGGCTAGAGCCTCCATTTTTGCACTCAGGTCTAAGTCTCATGGCCCTCTATCAGAATCCAGAGTTGTGGGAAGATTGGAGAAACTTAATTTTTCGCCCGAAAAAAAAAAAACGTAAGGGGTACCACTGTCTTTTTTTTTTTTCGGGACGAATTTTTGAGTTTCGATATCTCAGCTCTGGAAGGGGCTAGAGCCTCCAATTTTGCACTCAGGTCTAAGTCTCAAGGCCCTCTATCAGAATCCAGAGTTTTGGGAAGATTGGAGAAACTTAATTTTTCGCCCGAAAAAAAAAAACGTAAGGGGTACCACTGTCGTTTTTTTTTTCGGGCCGAATTTTTGAGTTTCGATATCTCAGCTCTGGAAGGGGCTAGAGCCTCCATTTTTGCACTCAGGTCTAAGTCTCAAGGCCCTCTATCAGAATCCAGAGTTTTGGGAAGATTGGGGAAACTTAAATTTTCGCCCGAAAAAAAAACGTAAGGGGTACCTCTGTCGTTTTTTTTTTCGGGGCGAATTTTTGAGTTTCGATATCTCAGCTCTGGAAGGGGCTAGAGCCTCCATTTTTGCACTCAGGTCTAAGTCTCATGGCCCTCTATCAGAATCCAGAGTTTTGGGAAGATTGGAGAAACTTAATTTTTTGCCCGAAAAAAAAAAAAACGTAAGGGGTACCTCTGTCGTTTTTTTTTTCGGGCCGAATTTTTGAGTTTCGATATCTCAGCTCTGGAAGGGGCTAGAGCCTCCATTTTTGCACTCAGGTCTAAGTCTCATGGCCCTCTATTAGAATCCAGAGTTTTGGGAAGATTGGAGAAACTTAATTTTTCACCCGAAAAAAAAAAACGTAAGGGGTACCACTGTCGTTTTTTTTTTCGGGCCGAATTTTTGAGTTTCGATATCTCAGCTCTGGAAGGGGCTAGAGCCTCCATTTTTGCACTCAGGTCAAAGTCTCATGGCCCTCTATCAGAATCTAGAGTTTTGGGAAGATTGGAGAAACTTAATTTTTCACCCGAAAAAAAAAAACGTAAGGGGTACCACTGTCGTTTTTTTTTTCGGGCCGAATTTTTGAGTTTCGATATCTCAGCTCTGGAAGGGCCTAGAGCCTCCATTTTTGCACTCAAATTTTCAGTTTCTCCAATCTTCGCAAAACTCTGGATTCTGATAGAGGGCCATGAGACTTAGACCTGAGTGCAAAAATGGAGGCTCTAGCCCCTTCCAGAGCTGAGATATCGAAATTCAAAATTTCGACCAGAAAAAAAAACGACAGTGTTACCCCTTATGTTTTTTTTTTCATTTTCGGGCGAAAAATTAAGTTTCTCCAATCTTCTCAAAACTCTGGATTATGATAGAGGGCTGTGAGACTTTGACCTGAATGCAAAAATGGAGGCTCTAGACCCTTCCAGAGCTGAGATATCAAAATTCAAAATTTCGACCAGAAAAAAAAACGACAGTGTTACCCCTTATGTTTTTTTTTTCATTTTCGGGCGAAAAATTAAGTTTCTCCAATCTTCTCAAAACTCTGGATTATGATAGAGGGATGTGAGACTTTGACCTGAGTGCAAAAATTGAGGCTCTAGACCCTTCCAGAGCTGAGATATCGCAACTCAAAATTTCGACCCGAAAAAAAAACGACAGTGTTACCCCTTACGTTTTTTTTTTTTCATTTTCGGGCGAAAAATTAAGTTTCTCCAATCTTCTCAAAACTCTGGATTATGATAGAGGGCTGTGAGACTTTGACCTGAGTGCAGAAATGGAGGCTCTAGACCCTTCCAGAGCTGAGATATCAAAATTCAAAATTTCGACCCGAAAAAAAAACGACAGTGTTACCCCTTTCGTTTTTTTTCATTTTCGGGCGAAAAATTAAGTTTCTCAAATCTTCTCAAAACTCTGGATTATGATAGAGGGCTGTGAGACTTTGACCTGAGTGCAAAAATGGAGGCTCTAGACCCTTCCAGAGCTGAGATATCGCAACTCAAAATTTCGACCCGAAAAAA